ATGCTGCAACTGAATCAATTTATCTTTTTGTCTGAAAGATTTAGTGCAATCTTTCACATAGTCGTCTTTGATACTATATTATTTGTTACATTGTCTTATCATTTTAACCCAAAAAAGAATCATCATAACTAATGAATTACAATCAAATGCCAAGTGCAGGCCTCTGGGAATCACAAATTCATTTCTTTAATAGACAAGCTTATATTGAAGATTGGGCTCAGTAGAGTTATAGCAGGCTATGATGAAAAGACTCTTTCATCTCCCCTGAAGGAAACAACTAAAGAAGCGATTACTTCTCGATCCTGGCTTGCTGCTGAAATATTATGCACATGGAAATGGCCAGGAGGTAGTGCTGTTACTTCTTTCTTGCCTCTTCTGAATGGAAATTATCCTCTCCAGGAAAGCCTGTTAGATTCCATCTTCAACATCTTACTTGATGGTGCTCTTGTTCATGGAGGAAGTGGTACCCAAAATTTCTTTAATCTATGGCCTGCTTTTGGTGATGAATTGGAAAAAGTTGAAGAACCATTCTTGCGAGCGCTTTTATCTTTATTAGTCACTCTGTTCAAAGATAATATATGGAAAGGAGATGAAGCTATAAGAGTCTTCGACCTGCTCATAAATAAGCTTTTTATCGGTGAAGCAGTAAACCAAAATTGTTTAAAGATTCTGCCTGCGATTTTCAGTGTTCTTGTACGTCCATTATGTCAGAGAAGCATCAAATCAGAGGAATCTAGTGGTAATGCCCAAGTAGCTTCTCTGGGTGAAAAACGGATGCAGGATACTGTTAAAGACTGGCTACAAAGGATTTTATCGTTCCCATCTTTAGTTACATGGCAAACGGGCCAAGGTAAAAACATGTTTCTTATTAACGAACACAAGATTTTGTTTATGTCATAGTCTTAGTATCATTTTCTAGGATTAGGATAATGTGCCATTGTTAGAACTGAATTAGGATCACATGCCACTATTGGTAGTGAACCAACACTCAACCCTTGCTATCTGTCTCTCCTTTTCTTTTGGTTGGTGTGTATGCCACTCGGTGGTATAGAGGAAGATGAATTTTCCATACACTTGACTGATCCAAGACGATCAAATGTTGATGAACCATTAGTTTGGCTAAATGTAGAAACACTCCTTGTACTACAGGCCGTTCTGATTGACACCATGTCAATATTAAAATGTTTGATTTCGACTCCAGTAGTATTAGGATATTCTGATTAAATCCCATCCATACCAAAGGGCTCGGAATGGAATGAAATGATATGAAATTGAGGGGTGGAAATCAAAATGGCCTGTAATACAAGAGTTGTTTGTTTGGTCTAGCCATTATATTTTAAATTCAAGTGGATTCTTGTATTTAATATTTCATTTAATTAAAATGTTATTTATGCTACTGTCTTTCTTTATCAATCTTAGATATGGAAGAATGGTTCCAGCTGGTTTTTGCTTGCTATCCTCTTAGTGCAATGGGTGATACAAAATCATTGAAGCTGGAGAGGGACATAAGCCCTGAGGAAAGTATACTCATACTTGATGTATTTAGAAAGCAGAGGCATGGTGTTAGTGCATTGGCAGGTTCAAATCAACTACCGGTGGTCCGGATGTTACTATCAAAGTTAATGGTTATTTCTGTTGGTTATTGCTGGAATGAATTTACTGAAGAAGATTGGGAGTTTTTCTTCTCACAATTGAGGCCTTGGATTCAGTCGGCAGTTGTGATCATGGAGGAAGTCACAGAAAATGTGAATGATCTTATCACAAACAGCTCTACTTCTGAAAATTTGGATGTTCTTAAGAACCTTGAGCAGATTGTTTTGATCTCACACCCTTATCCTGTAACTGTTGCTGTGAATGCCTTGGCATCATTTTCTTTGTTTTGTGGTATTTTGGAACTCCAACAACCAGATGCGGATAACTCAAAACCCCTAAGAACAGACCTATGGGATTCTACCAGAGATAGAATCCTAGAAGGCATTCTTCGGTTATTCTTTTGCACAGGCATTGCTGAGTCCATAGCAAGTTCCTACAGTCTTGAAGCTGCATCAATTGTAGCTGCAACTCGGTTTAATAATCCCTACTTCTGGGACTTGGTTGCTTCAAATGTTGTTAAATCATCGCAACATGCTAGAGACAGGGCAGTGAAATCAGTTGAATTTTGGGGGTTAAGCAAAGGGCCAATAAGCTCTTTGTATGCTATCCTGTTTTCCTCTACACCATTTCCATCATTGCAGTTTGCTGCTTATGTTATTCTCTCAACAGCGCCAGTTTCTCAGTTGGCTATTCTTGAACAAGACACTGCATGTTACTTGGATAGCGAGACTAGTGGTGACCAGGACTCAGGTGCCCCTGAATGGTCATCAGAAAGAAATGTCCGTTTGAAGGAGGAATTATCTTCTATGATTGAAAAGCTACCCGATGAAGTTTTTGAAATCGATTTAATGGCGCAGGAACGGGTAAAGTTTCTTGATGCTATCTATTTTTTTGTTTTCATGTTGGAATTTAAATATATCTGCAGTGGCTTATGATGAGGACAGTGAAGCGTTTTAATGAAAAGAATCAAAAAAGGAAGAGAATAACAACGGAATAATTGTTTAACAAGCTCTTTACAAAGACAAAAAAAAAAAAAAAGGAATAAGAATTCCAATTGGACAATCAACTAAAAGGGTAAAAGGGAAACAACCAACAGGGTGAAAGAACTATATTCCCTTTTGCTGTAACTGCTTGCTACTGATAGAGAATTGTGAAATTCCGAAGAACTACCATAAATTTCAAATGATCAAATAGAAGCATATAATCAAATAATAGTCTAAGAAAGGATGCTTGGTTCTCCATTTGCTAATATTGTCCAATTTGCAGGTTAATTTGTTCCTTGCTTGGTCGTTGTTGCTATCACATTTATGGTCATTACCATCGTCATCATCTGCAAGGAAGCGTTTAGTCCAGTATGTACAAGATTCTGCTAATTCAATGATATTAGATTGTCTCTTCCACCATATTCCTCTGGAATTGTGCATGGCACATACTCTTAAGAAGAAAGACATGGAGCTCCCTGTGGACATTTCAGAGGCTGCTACTGCAGTAAAAAGTGCCATCACAACAGGGTCACTATTGTTTTCTATTGAATCGCTGTGGCCCATTGAACCCAAGAAAATGACTTCGCTTGCTGGAGCATTGTTTGGTTTAATGCTTCGTGTTCTTCCTGCTTATGTTCGAAGGTGGTTTACCGACTTACGTGATCGTTCTACTTCATCTTTAATTGAATCATTTACAAGAACATGGTGTAGTCCTCCTCTTATCGTGAATGAATTGTCTCAGGTGAATATTTCAAAATTCCTGGTAACAAATTTTTTTATATTTTGGAAAGTCTATGCAGTTTGACTTAAGTGTTCATTTGAATTGCTTGGGTCAAAGGATAAAACAAAAAGTTCATTTACTTGGGCAAAGATAGATAGTTTCAAAAAGTTTGGCAATCTATTGTTATTTACTATGGCATAGATCTAATATAATTTCTTTCGGTGCAGATAAAGAAAGCCAATTTTGCTGATGAGAATTTTTCAGTAAGTGTGAGCAAATCAGCAAATGAAGTTGTTGCTACGTATACAAAGGATGAAACAGGAATGGATCTAGTTATTCGTCTTCCTCCATCTTATCCATTACGACCCGTGGATGTCGAGTGTATGCGAAGCCTGGGAATCAGTGAAGTGAAGCAGAGGAAATGGTTGATGTCGATGATGATGTTTGTTCGCAATCAGGTACATGCAATGGATGTTATGGATAATCCTATATATGAAAACCTGAAAAAACTTGATTTAGTTTTGATATAACTGATCATGTTAGTTTACATCTAGTCATTGACAGTCCATTAATATTTAATCAACGGGTTGATTTCAACTATCAAAATCAGCATGTTAAGTACTAATATTAGAGGAGTTCAATCCTTATAGCTGATGCAATAGTAACACTTACTGTGTTAAAAAAATTATAGAATATTAATAGTTACTGCAAAATGCATGAATTATGACTCCAGTTTAAATAAATTCCTTGTTGAAATCCAATAGGAATATCTTTCCTTTATTCCAACATGTTCTACATCACAAGGTCTTAAAAAAAGGAAAGTAACAAAGAAATGGGAAGAGGTAATGGATGTTTTTATCTAAAGAAGGGAGATAAATGGTGACATCATTAATTTCAATACACATTCGATAGACAAGAAAATTCTTATTTGTGATGCAGAATGGAGCTTTAGCTGAAGCTATTCAGACATGGAAAAGCAATTTCGACAAGGAATTTGAAGGTGTTGAGGAGTGCCCAATATGTTATAGTGTCATTCATACTACCAACCACAGCCTACCTCGGCTTGCTTGCAGAACTTGCAAGCACAAGTTCCATTCAGCTTGCCTCTACAAGTGGTTCTCAACCTCTCACAAATCATCATGTCCATTGTGCCAGTCTCCATTCTGACCTAGAAATCAATTTTGAGTGATGGATCTTCTGGATATTGCATTTCTGACATTGACTACCGTTATGAAGAAGGTTAGGACATACATGTACAGAGCAAAGTTCATAATCCTGCGCTTTTGTTTTCAAATGAAGGCTTTGTAGGCACATCGAAGTGACGAGAACTTTGAAGTTCTCTTGCTATTTATGTTTTCCTTTGTTTTGGCGCAATGCATTAGAAAAAAGAGAGTGAGTTTAGAAAATCATGGCTGCGTGATTACTGTACATTAATGTGAAATGCTAATTGACATAGTCAAAGCTAGTTACTTACTGTATCAAATTTTCCCAGGAATTTTATCGGAAGTCCTCTTACTACTATTATATACATTTCCATGTTTTCTCGATTTGTTTTGCTTTCAGGCCGGCAGCTTCGGCCTCTTGCTTGCATAATTCTAAGTCATTTAAAGGATTCAGGCATGTCTTTTCCTGTTATACAGTCCACCGGCGTTTCATCCAAATAGCGGCATTATATAACAATCCAGCCAGTTGAATGAAATAAACTATGCTCTTCTCAGTTGTGTCAAACTATGTTCAAATTCGTCGAACCATGGCCTTTCAGCATTAGCAATACACGAAGGAATCTTCTCATTTGTGCTGCATTTCCTTTTGAACAAAATAATACATTCTTCCCCATCACCTCTGACAATGCTTCTCCAGGCACAAAATATTGCCTGCCAAAGTCAGAACTGCAGCAAGGAGAAAGCATGTACAATAAAAAAAAAAGAGAAAAAAAAAAAAAGAGAGCATTTGACTAGATCTGCATCATCTATATCACTGATATAGTCGACCTGATAGTCATATGCATTCCTTTACATACCTACGGTAGTAATGGCAAATAGCAGCTGCTACATCTAAACTAAATCAGGGTAGGCTAAGAAGAGCATCTAAAGGAACATCTGGTAATGGCAAATCGTCACGAATCTTTCCAGCTTCTTTTGAATGCGAAAAGGCACCCACCATCGTGCTATTATGCATCATAGACCTAAAAGCATTTACCTGCAAAAGACGTAGAATGTTACGGAGGGTAAGTTCATTGAGCTTATCAAAGAGTTTGTAGCTCAGTGATAGTGATCTTTTATAACAAGAGGTCACAGATTCAAATCTTAACAGACTAGTTCTGTTCAGAATTTTAAGTGTATAAGTTAAAAAATATAAAAATCATTGAGCTCCAACCTGCAATCCTAGAGTCCACTATATTAACTATCCAGAAGAGCAAGAAAAGCATGTGCAAGATGTCCACGATGAAGGGAAGAAAACAAAACAAAAAAAAAAAAAACTAAATCTCGAGGGCCAAATTCTCGTAGCATGAAAAAAGATGATCAAAACCCTAAGAATATGAGTTCTCTACAAGGGTATATATACAGCATATATGTGCTGATTTCAATTGAAAAAAAATTAATTAGAGTAATATTAAGGCATAAATTTCAGAAAGAAGTCGCTAGAGCATTGTAAACAGTCAAATTTGCAAGGAAGAGCTTAACAAAACTCCCAATCAAAGACTTGACAAAGATGAGCATTTGACACTGACCATTGAGATGTACTGCACATCTCTCCGTCGGAATGGGCATTAGCATAAGTTCAAGCTCAAACTTCTCCACAAGTTTAGTTTTTTTTTTTTTTTCATAGTAATTGTTTTGGGTTGAGGATGAATGTCCAAATTTCTTGCCTATTGACTAATCAATATTTTTTTTAAAAAAAGCTTTTTTTTTGTTAACTCACGCACCTAAGAGTCCTAACGCACCTAAGAGTCCTAGCAAACTAGTATGTTAGAATTTAAATCCGTAACCTCTTTTTGCAAAAGACTACTATCACTAAATTACAAGCTCTTGGTTTTCATTTGAGTAGCATAGTTGATTAAGCAAACAAGAAATATGTCTAGTAGAATTATGACATTAAGTGATCATGTTGCCAGACACCATGAATCCATGTCTCTGTTTGTACATTTGTTATTTTCGCAATTGTGTTTCAAGATCATGAAATGATTGCATACCATCATCAAGTGTGCCAATATGAACTTGCAACCATTATCAACTTAAATCTAGAAAAAAGGACCAACAAATTAAGGCTTGAAAATGAGAACTATTATTACAAGAAATCAATCAAAACTACAGAATGTGTAACTGATCCAAGTAAAGAGCATGCTTGAGTTACAAGAATTATCTGAACCAAGCAACTCAATACTCAACATTGTAAAGAAAATTGCCAACTGTGGTTTTGCTACTCTAACTGTTGTCATCACATTAAGGATTCAAAAAGTGGGGAATTGCATTTTGCTAATCTCACTTTTCGGATGCGGAAAAGGCAGAAAGTGCTACACAGCTTAGAAACCAAAGGCTGCAAGATAGAACGGGCAATTGTGCCAAACTGTGTTTAAATTTGTTCACGAATAGCATCTTCAATAGGTCACTGCATTAGAGGAAGTAACCCTCTCATTTCTGCTCCATTTCCATTCGACAAATAATATATCTTCTTCCAGCTCTCCTCTGTGAATGCTTCTCGAGGCAATAATCTTTGCCTGCCAAAGGTAACAAATAATGCGAAGTCAGAACTGCAGCAAGGAGAAAGCATTTGGCTAGATCTGCATTATCTATAAGAATCCTACCAGTTGAATGAGAAAGTAAGTGTGCTAAATAACTGATATAGTCAACCTGGTAATCATACGCACTCCTTTACATACCTAAGGTAGTAATGGCAAACAGCAGCTGCTTCGTCTAAATTATATCGGGGTAGATTAACACGAGCATCTACAGGAACATCTGGCAAATCCATACGCAACTTTCCAACTGCCGTTGAATGGGAAAAGGCACCCACCATCATGCTATTATGCATCATAGACCTAAAAGCATTTACCTGCAAAAGATGTAGAATGCTACGGAGTGTAAGTTCACTGAGAACCCGCAGTCCTGGAGTCTAATATATTAACTATCCAGAAGAATAAGAAAAGCATTTGCAAGATAAGATGTCCATGGTGGAAGAAAACTACATCTCATGGTCCAAATCCTTATTGCATGAAAAGGATGACCAACACCCTAAGAATATAAGTTCTCTACAAGGGTACATCTACAACATATATGTGCTCATTTCAACTGAAAAACATTAGAATAATATTAAGGCATAAATTTCAGAAAGAAGTTGCTAGAGCATTGTAGACAGGAAAATTTGCAAGGAAGAGCTTAACAAAACATCCAATCAAAGACTTGACAAAGATGAGCATTTGATACTGACCATTGCAAGTTCTTTAGCATGTACTGGTCGACATGAACGCATAGTTACTGGTTCTTCATACTCACTGAATGTAAACCAGTTATTATACTGGAGAAAAAGTGACAGCAACAAATTAAAAAAAAATACATCAGTAACTTAGAAATGACTATGAAAACGTTCTAAAACTTAATTCATTTACAGAACTTAGTGACAGAATGTGGGAATTTGATTCTAGAATGTGTCTCACCTGATCAATTGCAAAGAGGACAGGAATATCCTTCACAAGTGATAACTCTTTCCTCAAGCGAACCACTACCCCAACAGCAGCATGTGTGTGCTTGATTCCTATTTGAACCAGATCATACAAAGTCGAGTTTTCAGGCACTGGCATTGAATCGACTCCTTTTAACAATCCAATTCCAGCACCCTCTCCAAGTGGAACGGGATCAAATATATGGCAAGGCAATTGCTTCAAGTGAGATTCATTGTATTTCACAAAATCCTGCAAAGAAACAACCAGTATGAAAAATACAAATTTTCACTAAGAACATTGTATACATGAGGACCAACAGAGAAGAAACTAATAGAAAAGTTAATAACAAGACACATTCGCCCATTCTGAAGAATCATTTGTAGAAAAGAGAACCAGGATCATGAATTATATTTTCCATTTTAGGAGGAGGAGTGGGGTTGAACCTAAACATGTTGCATGAGTAACCTTGGATTACCAATCAATGATTTTTGGAACTCAATCACATAACTTGCAAACAAAATGAAGAAGATATGGACCTGCCTCTTCATCTTAATTTTTCTAAGTAAAAAACTAATGTCATGGATATCAACAGTCCGTTACTTATGAGAATAGGAGTTCAGCAGATCAGACCATGCATACTTCTTCAATCACATTCATTTGATAAAATAAATGTTTAAAATTCTTACCTTGAGAGCATTTTCGGCCTGAAGAGGTGTATCCCAAAGACCAGTGATTGGGTTTTTATAGACAAATCCACCATGAGTCCACTCCCTTCCTCTGGGAACATAAAACACTAGCCAACCTTCTTCACGAGCCCAATGAACAAGCATAGCAAGCGCTATACTCTTTCCACAATTAACAGGACCATCTAATACAATCTGCTTTCTAACTTTCGGACCTGTAAAAAGAAATTGATCAACTTACAGCTAGCATGTACCTCCCACGCCCGCCATTTATCTTATCAATATATTTACACAAATAACTATCTCTTTGCAACTTTACAGATAATTTACCTAAATACACAACTATTTGTCCACATCAAATCATAAAGGTTAGGAGCATCCATTGAAGTCCTACTCGAGATTTTCAATAATATCTACAGGACATACTAAATCCTAGAATTACCCACATCACTGAAAATTCAAAACTATCACCAATTAGCTCTAAATATGCAAAACTAAACAAATACAAATGACATGATTCTATTAATGACCTTATCAAACCCAAAAAACAATAACGATAATAACAAAAAACCATACCTTTACCATCGGAAGAGAGCAACGGAGGATCAACAATGCGTCTAAAATTATTGCGAAGATCCAGAAAACTCTGTCTAACAAGCAATGCACTCCTCATAGATTCCTCAAACTCCTTCACCATCCCCGTTGGCAATCCCTCTGGCAACATCTGATTCAATTCCTTCTCGCTTCAAATCCCAAAACAACAAAAACAAAATCCCAATTCAGCCTAATAAACATACATTAGTACTATATTTTAATATATCTATCACATTCAACAAAACCAAAACAAAAAAACCATTTGAAATTACGTAAAAAGAGACCCAATTCAGCTACATAAAGACATAAAGACACAATCTTTATATACATTCATACGAAATTCAGGCACACAAAAAGAAACCCATATCGAAAACACACAAACGGCCACAATCTTTACATAACTAAACACATTAACAGCTAAAAAAAAGACCTGAATTTGAAGTAAGAGCAAGTGTCTTTGCGTGTAAGCTGAGAGAGAGAACTAGTATCAGTAAACAAAGGTCTCCCATTAGGACCCACATTAAGTGAAGGGTTATTCTCATCTTCAGCAAGACGACGAGCACGAAGCACTCTCTCATCAGTACTCCCTCTGGTGTCAGCTACAAAAGTTTTTGAATCATCAAGACCAGAGTTTTTTGGGTTCTTAATGGGTTTTTTATTGTTGGCTTTGTTGAAACCTTTTGCAGCTGAAGATTTGCCTGATTTGGAAGAAAAGTGACTGTGAAGTGGGGATTGAGAGATTGGAATGATGGGTTTTGGATTCCATTGAGGGTTTTTTAGTGAGGATCTCACAAGAAACCTTAACATTTCTGGGTTTTTGTGATTTTTATTATGATTTGTTTCTGTCTTGTGGTTTTGTCTTGGTGAGGTTTTGGGTTTTTGAGGTCTGCGTGTGAGGAGGAAGGGCATGTGTGGTATTTGGAAAGATATTGGGGTTATTTTGGAGATTTCAAAGGATGAAGATTTGGGCCTTCTGTTGTTGTTGTGGAGCCCAAATTTAGCTGTTGGCCCATCGAGATGTCATATATAGTGCACATCTCTGCTTGCTCGAAGTTCTCCACAAGTTTAAATTGCTTTTATCCAAATTTCTTACCTAATGAATTATTAATGTAATATGAATTTCTCCACATTCAAAATTATATATATATATAATTTTTCGATTTTATACATATAGATACATACGTTGTCTTATTAAATATTATATACAGAAATATTTATAGGTTTTTAATGCATCTATAAATACACATATATATACCTAAGTATATCTAGTATTCTTATTTTATATTGAATAATAAATAGTACTCAGATAATGGATGGTCATAATCTGAAAGAGGTATAAATATACAAAACTTTTATCTAATTTATAATGAATATAACATAAATATCAATTTTTGTTTCGAAAATGAGAATACGTGAATATACTAGAAAATTAATCTATGGATGGATATTCGATCATCCTTAACATTAAGGGATTTGGAATTAATATCTATTGAACAAAGAGTTTAACGCAGTGGTAGTAGTCTCTTATAAGAGATCACGAGTTCAAATCACAATAAACTAGTTTTGTTATAAGTTTTATATGTGTGAATTAAAAAATAATTAAGATACATTGCAAAATGTTGGTTTAAACGACACAACTTGAGTAATCTCTTATAATTACTAAGGCTTAGAAAATATTAATTGAAACATTACCTTAAATAAATTTTATCAAAAGCAAATGAATTATGCCAATGTTCGAATGGAAATTTCAAGGTTGATTAAGAGATAGATTTATCATGAGACAACTAATAACATAAAATAAGGATATACTAAACCCACAAGAAAAAACATAAGTGATTAAGACTTAACTAATTACTAATTAGGATATGGAGAATTGGATAACTTAAGACTAATTGTGGTTGTGGAGAAGCACTCATATTGGTGCTTACCACTTGTACACACCACTTATAAAAATATCAAGAGAAAAAGTAAATCAAAAGGATAGTAATTATATGCATAATGCATGAGGATGTTTACAATATATTACTAATTAAGGAACATTTTATAATAATAACAAGTTGTTGATCCAGTGCTAAGCGAGTTAGTTTTTAGAAAAATTTCTTATCAATATATAGGTTCGAATCTTGAAACTGCATTTGTTAGAAAAAGTTAAAATCTATCACTTTCGTTTCAAATATAATTAATTCTATCTTTAATATGAAATATGAATACCTAGATAAAAAAAAAAAAAAATCTTACAATGACTAATGGACCAAAGGATAGGAATCACAAGTTTGGACAGGTTTAGGCTAAAAAATAATCTAATAATCGACCAAAAATAAAACATATTTTTAACGTTATTTTTTTCCTCAAAAAATTAATAAATGTAATTTTGGTTGATGCAAACGTTAATCCAAAAATACCTAGTATAAGGGAACATCCTAGGATTACATAAATCCACATCAGTGGTGTTTTGATTGTACTCGCAACTAATGCCCTCTCTGAATTTTGTTAACAGAAGGTCAAGGACCCAACGAGGATGCCAATGTGGAAATCACTTGATAACAAGCACGCAATTTACTGTTTGACTGAATCCTCAAATGCACTGTATATGCTTCAATTATGGTAATAAATTGAAAGGTGGGATCATTTTATTTTTCGATTTCAGAATAATAGATTTTTAAACAATTTTAAAAATATATTCTTCACATCAATTTGATATATTTGTATTAAAGAATCATCTTACTCAAAATCATAAACATAACATTTATGTTTGAAACTTACACAGATTCATATTATCTTGTGTTTAATACTTAAGAAAGTGTGGATGGTGAGACTTAAACTCGGGATCAATTGATCAACCAAACTACGATGCTATATTAAAAGATTATTTCATAAAAAAACTTAAAATATGATTTATATTATTCTCTAATAATTTAAAAAAATAATTATAATTTTATCAATTTATCATAACAGAAAATCAATCCGTCCATAATGATTGAATAACATTGCTTCTTCAACTTCAACTAAAGAAGTGTTATATAAAATTATAGTTGATCAATGAATTATTGACAATGTTTGATGCATTAATTAGTAATGGAATTGTTATAGTATAGCCATTTTCGAATAAAATAATCTTGTTATAAATTATTTTTTTAATTTTTCTTAAATGGCAATAAAGTTGCAACGTATGACTATAAGAAGATCCTAGGGCCGGGGTCATAATCCTAAGGGTCAAAATGCTGTGTGCTGATCACTGACTTTGCTAGTTTTTGTCAAGGTGACTTCAGAATAGCCGAAAGGTGAGCTTCTTTAAATAATCTCTACCTTTCTAAGGAACTTACGAAATACTACTAACAAAAACTTTATTTGCAAACCCAAATAACATTTAATTGATGAAAAGCTGGTAAAGTTAGTGGGAGTAAATTATGAATTAGTCTCCTTAGTTTTAAGAAATAAATTAATTAGTCCTTTTTATTTTAAAGATTAATTATTTAGTCTTTTACTCGATGTTAATCATACTTAATTTAATATTACTTTATTCTAAAAATAGTTTTTTTTTCTTATCAATCTTTCCATAATATCTTTTTATTTATTTATTTAAATGAAAAAAAATTGAAAAAGATCATAAAATAAATAAATTAATTAATTAATTAGTTTTGAAAACAAAATGGACTAATTAGATTGTTTCTCCAAACTAGAAGGATTAATTTATAATTTATTCAAGTTAGTGGGCACATATTTATGGCACCATGCATATAAAACAGATTATATTATTATTATTATTATTATTATCATAGGCCATGCATGTCATTGTCAAATTTCTATTACGTGGTTCATCTACAGACATTTGCCAATCAGTGTCAACGAAAGAGGTAGTGCCCTTATTGGCTGAGCCTCCTGGAGAGATTAATTTGGTGGCTAAATCTTGGGTTTGAAAATGTGTAACAAGTCGGTCGAAGTTAAAAAAAGCTATGGCATGCAAAGAACCTTTTGAAAATAAGTGATTATGTTATGGATTTAGAAATATTAGTGATGGTCATCATTTAATATTATAGGATACCTAAATTAGGAAAACTTTGGCATCATCGATCTCAGTCTTTTGCCTAATATTCTGCCTAAGAGTTGCCTAATCATATCTCCATTATTCTCCTTATATTTCTATTACTTAACTAATTAAGGTCACTTTATTTGTTTATAATTGGTTAGTTGTTAGTGTTAGAAAAGAATAGAGTTTGTGTTCAATATATATTGCAATAGAAAGAGTGCTTAATGGTTTAATCTATCTTTATATAACAAAATAGTTCTCAAATCTGTAATTATATTTCTAATTGTGCTAATGTTGTCTACAAATATACCTTAAGTTATTAATCTATTCTTTTGATGAAGTTTTCATGCCAAACCATGAGAATTAATTGATCATATAATTTGTATATTATTATTTTTTTATTATCAGGATATCCTTATAAACTAGACAAATGAAATATTTTTATTTAAAAATTATATGAATAATTTTGGTGATTTTGTCTAAAAATCTTGTCAAAAAAATAAATTAAAATCTTAACGTATATAAGGACAGATTGAAGCATTAACCCCGATAGAAAATTAATCGAACCATTGTAGTAGAGATGAAAGATTAATTTGATCTTTTCTTGCACGAAGTGTTTGGAAATGAATTTGTGATGTCTTCATAGATACCGAAAGGTCACTCCCAATAAGCTAAAGTCCCACCCGTATGTATCACTTCAATTTAGGTCAAAAACTAACAAATCATATACATTTATATATCCTTGAATTGTACACATAACGAACAAACACTTCTCTTCTCCATTCATTTAGCTAAGAATACTTCCAGACACATAACAAATTATTTGAGTACTACAATATTATTTTCTTAAGGAAGGACAGAATAAAATTGAGTTTCGATATAAGATTTTATTCGTAGACAAAAAGCATATTCTCTGAGTTTAGGGTTCCTCATGCATGAATAATTAGACAAGACTGATATATTTCAGATATGTATCTTCAGGATTTGTCTAATGATCATGCATTCACACGAGAGACACTATAAAAACAAATATATATGTTCACATGGCTTTGATTTCAACAACACTAAACCAACCATGATTATGTGGTTGATCTTGTAATCTTTAAAAAATTTAGGAGACAAGACATAACTTTAATTAACATAAAGTAAGATTTTTAGGATGTGGAAGCCAATCAAATATTTTTAAAAATTAATTGTATTGTGTTAGGAAATAAAACATATTGTTGTGTAAAATTTTGGAACTTCAAAAATAAATAGATGGATTTTGATAACATAAAAGATTCCTATCCATTTTAAGCCTTGGCATAGATTAAAACCGATGAATTATTTATTTATTATTTATTACAAATAGAATTTTTCCATTCCTATTAAACTTTTCTCACATTCCATGAAATTTATTAACAATCTTTCCGAATATATCAAGTCTATATGGGAAGTATATTCTTAAAATTATTCAGAAAAAAATTAGGCTCAATACCCTCGTCTATTCTTATATAATAAGTCAATTTTTTAATTTTTCCTAAAAAACCTTTAATCTGTTTTTATATTTTGAACTTACTTCTAATCTCTCATCTCTCATTTTAGTTAAAATTTCAACCAAATTAACCATTAATTTACAAATGATATGTGATTTGAAAAAAATATTTTTGTTATTTAGTATAAGTAATTTATATCTACTAATATGAAGATTAATTTTTAAGAATTAGTTAAAAATTTTGACAAAAATAATATTAGAAACTAGTTTAAAATATGAGGATAATTTAAAAGTATTTTTTTAAGGATATATTGAAAATTAAACTATTATATAAGAACATACGAAAGTATTAACTCAAAAAATTAATTTGGATTTATACAACTTCATTGATTTTTTTTAATAGTAAAATGATAAAAAAAAATCTAATTAAATATTGGCCTCAAAAGGATGGCACCTAAAGCTTGACTTTGTAGTTGTAGGCCCCTTGACTCATCACCACTCATGCAACTCAAACCGTCCACATTCTTTTTGCATTCCCTATATAACCACCCCCATATCTCCCATATTCAAATCTCAAATCCAAAAACAACAAAAGCAAAACACAATCACCGGCCTCTCTCTTTCTTCCACCAAGACTACATTTCTTTGTTGTTTAAAACTGGCAACCAATCAAGCAAGCCTGGAGGAGATCGAAGGAGAACATAACAAGAGGGTGGTAGTGGCCCTATATGATGCCCTAGCCAACAAAAACATCAAAATGGCACACCATTTGCTAGCACCTGACCTAGAGTGGTGGTTCCATGGTCCACCAATCCACCAACAACATTTGATGAGCTTGCTCACTGGCCAATCATCATCTTCATCAACAACACCAAACAACAAATCCTTCACCTTTCACCCTCTCTCCAATATTGTTGGCTTTGGATCAATGGTCCTTGTTGAAGGGTTTAACAAAGATTGGAATGTTTCATGGGTTCATGCATGGATTGTGACGAATGGGATCGTTACCCAAGTTAGAGAATACTTCAATACTTCTGTTACTGTCACTCGTTTTGGGGATGGAGGATCCTCCATAGCATCATCACATGCTATTACTACTTCTCAATCTGGGCCTAGGTGCCAAAGCGTTTGGCAAAGCAAGGTCTCTGATAATAAGTCTGTGCCTGGTCTTGTTTTGGCACTCTAATCAATGAATCATTAGGGTATGAAAATGCTAATTAATCAAAGTTCATGGTATATATGTCACAATGTTGCTCGTTCTTGATGGGTGAGGAGTGTTTAATCACATGTTTAATCTACTTCATGTGAGACTTTGGTTGGTAATTACCATATAGTGGGTTGATTAAGTTAATTTAGTCTCATATTTTATGTTCTTATAAGATTTCCCGTGTTTGTATATATGTGTACTGGAAAATGATGGACTAAATTAAAAATTAATCCGTCTCATTTTAAGAAACAAATAAATCATTCATCTTGTTTTAAGAATTAATTATTTAATCACTAATGTTTTAATTTCGTTAATAATTTAGTCATTTCATCAGTTTTTTTTTGTTAAATTAGTGATTTTTTTTCAAATATTCTTTGTTTTATGCTTTATTTCTCTCATTCACCTATTTTTTTCTCTCCTCCAAAAAAAAAATTGTAATAAAAATCATTAATTTAATAGAAAATTGATGAAATAACTAAGTTATTTATTGATGAAATTAAAGTGTGAGAACTAAATGATTAATTTTTAAAAGAAAAGAGACTAATTAATTTATTTTTCTAAATGAGAAGGACTAATTTATAATTTACTCAAAATGATGTGCTTCACCAAAGCAAAATGACAAAAAAGGAAAAGGAAAAAAAAAAGTTCACATGATTAGAAAATCATATGTGTCAAATTGTTCTTCCACATTTTGATCTTTCTTGTATAATTTCTGGTCTTGTTCCAATCTTGCATTCTTTAATTGTAATTATTGTCTACCACCAGATTTGATTATCAAACTCTCCTTCTTAATTTGCTTGGTGACATTAGAATTTGTTTAATTAAGTTGCTCTAAATTGAATTAAAAAAAATATTGATTGGTACGTAGAAAAGCAATAGTTTGTTTTTGTATTTTGTGGTCCATCCACTTCGCAATAGTATTTTAGCCTTAGTGGGTATGCTAGCTGAGTAATTATAAATTATTCTATGTAATTTTGAAAAACCAATTAATTAGTCTTTCTATTTAAAAAAACTAATTATTGAATTTTTTCTTCATTTTATGTTTTTTTTTATAATTTACTTCTTTCATTTTAAAAATAAAAAAAATGAAAAACATATTATTGAAAAATTGATATATGAAAACGATCCTAGTTAAGGCTTTCTCTAAATCACAATTCCCATTCATTCTCTCTTTTAGAAAACTCAGCAGTCACAACAGCTGGTTGCTACTCAATCTATAATTTAATTCTAGGCAATTTGAACTTTATAATTTTCTTCAAATGTTTTTTTTTTATTAATGCAAGATATTTTTTTTATATATTATTTCCTATTGATGGCGATCAATAGTCTTTTTTTTTTTTGCAAATAATTTCATCAATTTTTTTTTTTTTCATAATGGGTGCTAGCTTATTGTATATTTTCTTACATTTAAGATTATATCTGTTTAACCTATAAGGAGTTGGTTCGATTGATAGAGAACATTTATTCTATTTGAGTTCTCATGTTTGAATCTCTCTATTAGTTTGTTTGATTAAAAGATACTATATGATAATGCATATTTACGTCAAATTGGCTCCACCACTCGCAGAGATACCTTATTTCGACTATGATATAGATGCGATAGTATCTTTCCACCCGTGTATGGATATGACAGACTCCCATTTTCCAGACGTGCATGCCTTAAAGTTCTTTGGTTTTTTATTTTTTAATTTTTTTTCAATAGAGAGTGGCATAAATGCTCTTTCGGATTTGGATCCTTTCCTGTTTCAAATACATTTATGCTCTTTTTTTTTTTTTTTTTTGTCAGGATAACAAGTTGCAAATGGATGTACATATGTAGAACCATTACCTTTTGGTCAGGGCATGCATTAAATTACATACAAAACTTACAAGCCGGTGGAAAATGGAGAAAAAGGACACTAGATTAGGACAAACTTACAAGCCTGTGGGAAATGGAGAAAAAGGAGAAGCATGGCTATATACACATCCATTCCCGTCCACTGACCGATAAATCATTATTGGAAGAATAAAAGAAAACTTTAAAATATAACAATAAAAAATTTATTCTTTTTATTCTTATTTTTGGGTTACTAATGTTTTCCTTTTGATTTTTATTTTCAAGTTATTGTATTTTAAGATAATTTAATAACTCACAAAAAAGAAGATATAATTTTTTTATAACTAAAACTCTAATTACATCTTCATTAATTAATTTTTTATTTCTTTTTTCATTAAATAATTTATCTTTATTATTTTTTTCTTTATGAGTAGTGGATCCCCAATAAGGATGACACATGTCTATTTATGAAGACTGTAATCAATGATTTAATAACAAGACCCTTAACCGAAATGTTCTTGTAGATATAGGCATTCAAGTAGAAAAAATAAAAATAAATACACTTGATTTAAAAAAATGAAGGCACAAATCCTCAAATAAAAAATACTTAAACTAGAAACAGTTGATTAGAAAATTCATATAATTGCATAAATTGAATTTTTTTTATTGCATCTAATAATCTCTCTTGCTTTTCTTCTTACAATAGACATTTGTTTTTATTTGTTTTTATTTTTTATTTTTTATAGTACGATTATTTTTTCCTAAGAAAGAAATATATAGTGTGAAAGAACCCCTTCCCATTTTCCTCTTTTCTTTTGACTTTTGATCCACAATTTCCTTATTTAAGGCTGCATAATGAAGTCTTTCTCTAAATCACAATTCTCATTCATTCTCTGTTTTTGAAAACTCAGCAGTTACAAAAGGTTGCTACTCAATCTATAATTTATTTTTTGGCAATTTGAACTCAATAATTTTGTTCAAATGTTCTTTTTGTAATTCCAGATCTTCTTTTTTATATATTATTTCCTATTGGTACGATCAATAAGGTTTTTTTTTTTTTTTCAAATAATTTCATCAAATATATATATATATATATATAATGGATTCTTATTGCATATTTACTATGTAATATGTAAGAATATTATATTGCTTAAGATTATATCTATTTAGTCAATAATGAGCCAGTTCGAGTAGTAAGGAAGCTTTGCTTTGCTTCATGCATGTCTTAAAGTTAATCTAAAACATCTGTGCTCTGTTTTTTTTTTTTTTTTTTTTTTTTGCGATTTCCAGTAAATTTGTTAATTATTTAATTAACAATTTTGAGCATCTTCATCTATTTTGATAGGTGAAAACAAAGAGCAGAAATGTTGAAGGCATTGCTTCAGGTAATAACATGGATTTGGTGGTTGCTTCAGATAACAACATGGGTTTGGTGGATTGTCATAATTGTGCCAGCTTTGCTGTGGCCATCGGTAAAACAAGAAACACAGACACTCCGTTACAAAACAATAACCTTCAACTTTGAAGGTGCTACCCCTGCTAGCTACTCGGCATTTGTGAATTCTCTGCGAAATGAAGTCGAAAGCAAGAAGGTGTTTGGATTGCCAGTTACAGCAACAACAGCAAAAGTTTGCGAACGATATATTTTAGTTGATCTCAAATTTAAAAGAAAAGAAGAGTTCTTGACACTAACACTAGCAATAGATGTCATTGATTTGTATGTGGTGGGTTATCGTGATAAATATGACGAGAAAGATCGTGCCAATTTCCTTAAAGATGCTCCCAAAGTTGCAAGAGATAATCTTTTTGAAGAAGCACAAAAAGCAAAACAAGTTAGAGACACTACATTTAAAGGCACCTACACAGATCTTGAACGTTTTGCCGGAGATAGACAGATTGTTGAATTGGGAGTTTTCAAACTACAGCAAGCCATCTTGTCGGTCTATGGAAAACCGGACAAGAAGAAAAAGGACGAACCGAATATTGAGGCTAAATTTTTCATTATTTCCATCCAAATGGTTTCAGAGGCAGCAAGATTCCAATATATACGGAAAAAAGTACTCGAAGGAGGAATATACGGAAGTTATAAACCAGATCCCAAAGCGATCTCATTAGAGACCAGTTGGGATAAGATCTCTAAAGCTATTCAAACTGCTGATGCTTCTGGAAAGTTTCGCTCAGAAATTATTTTAAAGGATGAAAAGGGCAACACATGGATAGTTAAGAAAGTGAGTGACATAAAGAACGACATGGGACTTTTGAAGGGCCAAGCATCAAAGTTTTCTCAACTTATGCAAATGGCATACATCTAATTTCTTAACTAAATGGCCACGAAATATGTTATGCTATTGTTATGAAATACGTGATGTGCAATCTTGTTGTTGTGAAATAAGCCAATGAGTTATAGTTCATTTGGCATTAATTAGTGTCTCTTCTGTGTTATTAAGAGAATTCTATTTCGAATCTCTTTTTGTGTAGAAATAAAAAATAAAAATAATCTTGCTTTGAAAAACTATGTAAATAGAATAAAGGCAAGTTATATATTATCTTTTTCATATATTTAAAATGTTATGTATCTGTTTCATGATAATATTTGATTTGATAAAAATATCCTTAAATTTTGAAAAACATTACAACCAACTTTTTATGAGTAAAGGATTGATATTTTTGAGTATGATACAGTGAATATTTTTTCTCTTAAAAAAGAAAATTATGTATCAATAAAAAAATATATACTTTTTCTAATTTATTTCCCTGAGTTTGATATTTTGCAAATCATAGTTTTTGCTAAAAAAAATTCCTTTTTTTTTCTCTTCAATTATTTAAAGTATATGCATTATTAGACAAACATTGAGTTATTTTTACCATCCCGAAAAAAGTGCATGATAATCTAATTATTATTGAGTTCCGTCTATTTCCACGACCTATGAGTCTAAATCCATCATAAATTGTTTATGAGTGAAGCCCTCTAGCTTTTCAAATTTTGTTTAGACACCCTTTCTCTCACACAGATTACAATACAATTGCCAAATCAAAGTTTTGTCATTTATCTGTCATTTTTCATAAGATTTTAGATCAAATCTCTTCTCTTATCAATTGACTAAAATGATTAATCTTAATCTATTAACGAACAAGTTTGTAGATGAAATCATCAAACGAAGGCAATGGAGGTTTTTAAATCAAATAAGAGGTTTAATTTGATTCCAAGCATAATTTTTTTTATTTATTTTTTGACAAGTTGATATTCAATAATAAAAGTTTTTTAAAAGAAAGAAAAATCTATCATCCACAATTGAAAATGATTGAATCTAGGGGTTATCCAAAAGCAACCGTAACCGAACCTAACAATAGTTTATGACTGTTGTTAATTAAAAATCTCTTTAGTAATTAGGTAGTTATCTAACATATTGGTTATGTTGAGATCCGATGTTGAACCGATGTGTTTTCCGACGAAGAGGTTTAACAATCGATTTAACAAAATACCATAAACAAAAATAAAAAAACTTACTTTTGACATATATATATATATATATAAACTTGAAATTTTGACTAAAATTAATTTTGCTGAAATTTCGACTAGAATTAATTTTGGCAAAAATAGAATTTCTTTAGGAGATAAATTTTAGGACTAATATAGATGTGATACATTTCATAGAAAATGATGTTTTTTGGTGATCAATATCTTTCTAAAAGCCTAACAATAGTTTATGACTCGTTGTTAATTAAAAATCTCTTTAGTAATTAGGTAGTTATCCGACATATTGGTTATGTTGAGATCCGATGTGTTTTCCGACGAAGAGGTTTAACAATCGATTTAACAAAATACCATAAACAAAAATAAAAAAAACTTACTTTTGACACACACACACACACACACACACACACACACACACACACATATATATAAACTTGAAATTTTGACTAAAATTAATTTTGCTGAAATTTCGACTAGAATTAATTTTGGCAAAAATAGAATTTCTTTAGGAGATAAATTTTAGGACTAATATAGATGTGATACCTTTCATAGAAAATGATGTTTTTTGATGATCAATATCTTTCTAAAAGCATAACCAACTCCTTACCAAAAAATCTTTACACCAATACTCATTTTAAGTTTCTACTTCTTTCAATATTAGGTGATGACTCCTAAAATCAATAATAACTCGTATTTACAGAATAAATCATAATTCAAAATAAAAGAAATAAATCTTAAATTTTCGAAAGTCCCGTCCAAAGTCGGATAACAACATATTCTATTTAAGTTCTCAAGTTTGAATCTCTCATTAGTTTCTTAATTAAGAAATATTATACTATACACATCTACGTTAAATTAGCTCCATTTACTTTTATGTCTTGTGTTTTTTGTTAATCTCCGATAACTGTATTAATTAGTTAATTAACGTTTTTGAGCGTCTCATCTATACATGGACCATTAATTCAATCGTAACAAGAGGGATAACAAGTTGCAAATGGATGTATACGTAGAACCATTACCTCTTGTGAAGGCATTAAATTACATTGAAACTTACAAGCCTGTGGGAAAAGGACGCTAGACTTGGACAAACTTACAAGGCCATGGGAAATGTAGGAAAAGGAGAAGCATGGCTTTACACATATCCATTCCCGTCCGCTAGACTTTCACAGTAGTCACAGTCTGTGAGCATCAATCAGTCCATTAGAAAATTAAACTCCAATTAATGAGCACCATCAAAGGTGGTTGGTTAGTGAAACCTCCATTGGATAATCCTGTACGTGCATTTTAAAGCATTTATAGAGAGAGCCACAATGTGACAGTTTGTGACTTTTCCCGATGGATTCAACAAAAGGAAGAACAAAAATCTTGCAACATGCATGCTAGCTAATTGCTACACCCATAATATATATCATTTCGCAGGCACAACTAATTTTAGTGGCTTGGCAATTGTTTTTGTGGACAGTATGTTAGTGTGGGCGATGATGGTGATGTAGCAAGTGTTTGACAACGATGAAGTTGTTAGAAATAATGCTTCAGTAGCTGCAATGTTTGAGAGAATTAATGACTTTATCCATGTGATAGGCAAATATAAAATAGATGAGCTTACAACCATAAATCCTTAAAGATAGCAAATCATATCTAAACTACTTGTTGATCTCCAACAACTAAATGACTAGAAACAAGGAAACATAACAACCTCCAGTAGCCTAGTATGGCTAGGAGACTTATTCAACATATCTGACAGAAGTTTCGAAGGAACATATAAATGCGAAAAAATTTGAGAAATTTAAAAGGAAAGAAAGCAAAACATATAATTTCAACAGTGAAGAACACCAATGAGAAGAAGTTTCAAAGGAACATATAAATGCTATAAAATTTTAGGAGGAAAAAAAAAAAAAGCAACACACACACGCACACATAAAAATAGAAAACAGCACATTAATCAACTACACCTATTTCTGACCCTATTACCTTGTTGAACCCATTAAAAATGGTGAATTTTATTTTTCTCTATTCAAATATGTGTGTTCTATCAAATTATTTCTAAAATTTCCATTTTTTTTTAATGGATTTTGCCCTTATATATATATATATATATATATATATATATATATATTGGGATTCTACCCTTTTATTATATGTTTTATTAAAGTTTCTATTTTTCCATCCAAGTATGTTAAATCATAGGACACGTTTTAAAAATATATGCATTGCCAATAAATCATTACCGGAAAAATAAAAGAAAACTTTAAAAGATAACAATAAAAACTTTTTATTCTTGCTTTTGGGTTACTATGTTTTACGAAGAAAATCTATATTCCTAATTAAATAATAATAATAATAATAAGGAGAAAGAGAGTATTTAACATCATGTTTTTGAGGATAATTTGAACATCATGTTTTTGAGGATAATTTTTTCCTTTTTATTTTATTGTTATTTTCAAGCTATTGTATTTAAAGATTTATTAAAAACTCACAAAAAGAAGAAACAGGTAATATTTCTATTGTAAAACTTTATTACATCTTCATTAATTAATTTTTTTCTTTTTTTCATTAAATAATTTTTCTTTAATATTTTTCTTTACAAATAGTTGATCCCCAATAAGATGACACATGTATATTTATCGAGACTATAATCAATAATTTAATAATAAGATCCTTAATCGAAATGTTTTCATAGATATAGACATTCTAATAGAAAAAATAAAAATAGATACACTTGATTGAAAAAATGGAGGCACACATCCTCAAATAAAAAATAATTAAGCTAGAAACATTTGACATAAGTGCATAAATTGAATTTTTTTATTACATCTAATTAATAATCTCTCATGTTTTTCTTCTTACAATAGATATTTGTTTTGGTCTGTTTTTATTTTTTAATTTTTTTAAATACAATTCTTTTTACTAAGAAAGAAATATATAGTGTAAAAGGACCCTTCCCATGTTCCTCCTTTAAAAAAAAAAAAAAAAAAAAACTTTTGATCCACAATTTCCTTATTTAAGGCTGCCTACTGAAAACTCAGCAGTTACAAAAGGTTGCTACTCAATCTATAATTTATTTTTTGGCAATTTAAACCCAATAATTTTGTTCAAATGTTCTTTTTGTAATTCCAGATCTTCTTTTTTATATATTATTTCCTATTGATACGATCAATATATTTTTTTTCCTGCAAATAATTTCATTTTAATAATGGATGCTTATTGCATATTTACTGTATAATATGTAATAAGAATATTATATTCCTTAAGATTATATCTATTTAGTCAATAATGAGCCAGTTGGAGCGGCAAGGAAGATTCATTCTATTTGAATTTTCAGGTTTGAGTCTCTCAATTAATTTGTAATTAGGAAATGACATATGAAATCAGTCCAGCCCAGTTACATAGCCCAACCCACATCACTTTAAAAAGCCCAAACCCAAAAACACAACCCAACTCTTTTTGAAAGAAAAAAGAAAAAAATTGGATCAAAATCCTTTGTTTTTCTTTTCTTTCTCCTTCTCCACCCGTTCCCTCTCTTTTTCTTTCTTCCTCCTCCTCCTCCTCCTCTCCCGAATCTCTCCCTCACCATGGACAACTCTCTTCCTCTCTCCCTTCTCCTTCCTTTCTTCTTCTTCTTCTTTGTCGAATTCTCTCTCTCGTTCTTTTTTTTTTTCCTTCTTCCTTTCTCACTCCTCCTGAGACCATGGCTTAGTTGGCTTTTCTTTGGACTTAAAAAAAAAAAAAAATAGCTTTTTTCGTTCATGCTTCATAAGAGGTGTTTAATTTGTTTAATAAAATTCTATGGAGACAACTACAATCATAAATGGGGATAATGCATATATTTACAAAGGAAATTATAAGAAGAAATGGAAATTTGTTCCTTCTACATACAATATGGAACCAATATATGGAATGACATATTGACAAAATATCTTTTGCTCAAGAATTAAATTAGAACAATTAGAGATATAAGAACATCTTGAAAAATTATTTCATTATATAATGATAAATTGAATTATTTACTCATTAAAAAAATAATTTTATATACCCCGTATCTGTTTTTTTTTTTTTTTTTGAATGCCATGAACATTTGGGGAACTAATTAATCTTTGAGTAAATTATAAATTAGTCTCTCTATTTTTCAAAATGAATTAATTACTTTTTCAAAAAAAAAACTAATTATTTAGTCTATTAACTAATTCATATTGATCATAATTAATTTAATATTATTTCATTTCATAATTAATTAGTTTAATATTGACCATAATTAATTAATTTAAAATTTTTTGATAAATTATTTTATATGTTTTCACTTAGTTTTTCTTTTTTATTTTTTTTAAATGCAAAATAAACTGAACAGAGTTAAAAAGATTAAATTGCAAGAAAATTTTAAAAAATAAAAAAACTAAAAAATTAATTTTTAAAACCTAAAGGATTGATTAATTCATTTTTCGAAATTAGAGAGATTAATTTATAATTTGCTCACGAATCTTTTCGTGCTTTTCACATTTAACAGTGAATTATTAATTAGGTATACTTACCGAGAACGACAAATAAAGCAGGGCTATCAAACCCGGCTTGAGCCGGTGAATCAATCAAAAGTATAAATTGAGCACATATTCAATCAAAATCAAGGTAATCATAATTTCAACAGTGAGGACATTTTAAATAAGAATTTGGTCTGTTGCTAATTAAGATTTCAATTTGCTGTTTTATTTATTTATTTTTTGTTAATTTGTTAGGTGTCCGATAGTAAATTTCACATAAAAGTATCGCATTTCACATATATAATTAACGGACACATCGATAATTAGTTAAGAACACAACTTAAGTAAAAAAAATTATAACTTGTGTCCCTCAAATAATAAAAATTAAATGATACATACTCAAGTAAAAGAAATTGATTAGTTTTAACACATAAAATGAAATTAATTCGTTCATTTTTTAAGACTATCACCAGCAATTTAATAATAAAGATATTTAAACGAAAAAAAAATTGTAGATACAGACACTCAAGTAAAAAAAAAATAAATAAATATACTCGATTGCAAAAAAAAAAATTAAAGATGAATAGATCTAAATAAAAGTAATTAAACTAGAAACAAATGATTAGAAAATTCATATAAGTATGTACAAACACAGAATTTTTCGCTACATCTAATAATGTCTCTGCTTTTTCTTGTTATAACAAAAATATTTGCTTTTTTTTTTTTTTTTGTATAAAGTTTATAGTTAGAAAGAACCTCATCCTGTGTTCCTCCTTTCTTTGACTTTTGATCCACAAGTTCCTTATTTAAGGCTGGCCACTGAAGCCTTTCTCTACATCACAATTCTCTTTCGTTCTCTCTTCTAGACAACTCAGCAGTTACAAAAGGTTGCTGCTCAATCTATAAGTTATTTCTTGGCAATTTGAACTTTATAATTTTCTTCAAATGTTCTTTTTTTGTAATTCGAGATCGATCTTCTTTTTATATATTATTTCCTATCAATTCTTTATTCAAATGATTTCATCAATTTTTTTTTTTCATAATGTGTGTTTATTGCTTGTTTTCTGTATAATATGTAAAAAGATATTTTATATGATAAAATATAAAGATATTTTATTTCGACAACGACACAGTTACGATAGTATTTTTATTGACCGTGTATAGATATTAAAGACTGCCATTTTCAAGAAGAAAAACCATTGTTTTTTTTTTTTTCCCCTTCAATGCACATTGGATCTTGGAATTGGATATCCTTTCCTCTTCCAAACGCATTTGTGCTCGATTTTTTTATATGTTTTTTTTTTTGGTAAATTTATTAATTAGTTAATTAACGATTTTGAGCATCTTCGTCTGTTTTGATAGGTGAAACCGAAGAACAGAAACAATGAAGGCGTTGCTTCAGATAACAGCAATATGGGTTTGGTTCACTGTAGTTATTGTGCCAGCATTGGTGTGCCCATCAGTAATAGAAGACACAAAGGCACCCCAATACGAAACGGTAACCTTCAACTTTAAAGGTGCTACCGAAACTGGGCCGTACAAGGATTTTGTGGTGTCTCTGCGAAATGAAGTCAAAGACAGCACGGATAGGAACGGATTACCAGTCACAGCAAAAACAGCAGAAGTTTCCGAACGATTTGTTTTAGTTGATCTCAAAATTGATAGTGAAAAGTTCATCACACTAGCAATAGATGTCATTGATTTGTATGTGGTAGGTTATCGTGATAAATATAACGGGAAAGATCGCGCCACTTTCCTTAAAGATGCTCCCAAAGTTGCAAGAAGCAAAGAAAGCAAAACAAGTTAGAGAAACTTTATTTAAAGGCACCTATACAGATCTTGAACGTTTTGCCGGAGATAGACAAAAGTCTGTAGATAGAAAGACGATTCAATTGGGAGTTGGCAAGCTACAGAAAGCCATCGATGATGTCTATGGGAAAAACGCAGACACGAAGATTGAGGCTAAATTTTTCATTATTTCTGTCCAAATGGTTTCAGAGGCAGCAAGATTCCAATATATACTGAATAAGGTACTCGAAGGAGGCATATACGGAAGTTATAAGCCAGATTTCAAAGCGACTTCCTTGGAGACCAATTGGGATAAGATCTCTAAAGCCATTCAAAATGCTGATGCTGCTTCTGGAGAATTTCGCCCACCAACTAGTTCAGTTAGCTTGCAGGACGAGAAGGGCAAAGCATGGATAGTTAAGAAAGTGAGTGACATAAAGAACGACATGGGACTTTTGAAGGGCCAAGCATCAAAGTTTTCTCAACTTATGCAAATGGCAGATATCTAATAACTTAATTAACTAAATGGCCACAAAATATGTTATGCTATTGTTATGAAATAAGTCAATGAGTTATAGTTCATTTGGCATTAATTAGCGTCTCTTCTATGTTATTAAGAGAATTCTAGTTCGAACCTCTCTTGTGTAAAAATAAAAAGTAAAAAATAAAAATAATCTTGCTTTGAAAACTATATAAAGGCAAGTTATATATTATTTTTTCCATATATTTAAATGTCATGTCTCTTTTTCGTGATAATATGATTAAATTTTGAAAAACATTATATATTAAAATTACTTTTTTGGGAGATTTTAATAAATTATGTTAGCTAATATGGGACTCTTACTATTTATGAGTAAAGGATTGATATTTTTAAAAATATTTGATTTGATAAAAATATCCCTTATATTGAATATTTTTTTCTCTTAACAAAGAAAATTATGTATATCTACATTATGCTATTTCATTTTAATGAGTTTGATATTTTACAAATTATATAGAGTATATTCATCGCTAAATAAACAACGAGTTGTTGTTTACCATCCTGAAAAAGGTACATGATAATTTAATTAATATTGGGATCCGTCTATTTCCACTACATATTAGTCTAAATCCACCACATATTATTTATGAGCTAGGGTCCACCAAGAGATTTGATTATTAAGCTCTCCTTCTTAATTTTCTTGGTGAGTTTATTTTTGTATTTGTGGTCCACTGCACCTGGCAATAGTATTTTTTTTTTTTTAAGTTTTTTTAGTTTTTTCCTTTATGGCTTTAATTAAAAAAAAAAAAAAAAAAAACGAAGCTTAGCCCAAAAGACAATAATGACAAGTGGTGCTGGATCCTAATTAAGGACCATATCAAACCTACAGGCCCATTAAGGAGGTATTTGTTATGGGCCCTTATAAAAGCATAAAGTGAAATACGCCATATAGAAGAAATATACGGAATGACATTTGAAAAAGGGAAAAAAAAAAAACTAAATTAATCCACTTTATAGTAAGATAAAAACTCAATAAAGAGTTATTTTATAAAAACAGTCCTGTCTTAATAGAAAAAAAAAAATACAATTTTCAAACATAATAATACAGAGGGCTATCCAATTCTATTGGTAATTTTGAAACATAATAGGAGATGGAGGATAGCCAATATCATCACCACCGGCTATTAGTTCTTTGCAGTCCAAGGGCAAGTTGCTAATGTCATAATCCAAAATTTCCTATTTTTTTTTTTTTTTACATTTATTTTCTTTCTTTTATCATCTACTTTCTTGTTCATTTTTTTAGTTGTTCTATCATTTATTTCTATAATTGGAATTTACTAAAATACAAAAAAAGAAAAGAAAAGAAAAGAAAATTAGAAGCCAATAAATAAATAAATGTAATTAAAATACCAAAAAAACACAGAAATTGCAAAATACAAAATTAGGGATACAATTGAATCAAACAAAAGTGAAATTGAGGCAGTTATGCATACAATTGAAGGATGAGAAACTTCAGAACCATAATTACAGGACCTATGAACCTAATTGAAGAAATTAAAAAGTATAAGGATTACATTAATACATCTGAAGGGTACAATTGAAATGAAATTTAACTAACAGGGACCTCAATCGATTCAAGATACAGACAACAGGACCAATTGAGACCCCCTAAGCGACCTGTCGCCTGAATTTCTCCAGCAGAAACTCAGCTTGTCAGTTCCTGCATTCCTCCAAGAGATGAGAGCAGGAAATAAATGTAGGGGCATAGTATCAAGCAAAGAAGGCCCCAGCTTGAGTTCTAGTCCAGGATGTTGAGTGACCAGTCAATCATTGTTAGCGAAGCCCAAACAAAAAATGAAGGTGCAATCTGATGGAGCTATGTACGAATCCTTTCATACTCCCATTGTCTTCCTTTCGATTCAACACAGGCCTTGTTGATATAATGTTTTCCATATCCGATCCAGACCCTTTCGATGTCGCTGGAGCTATGTACGAATCCGCAATGGCATTTTCAGATTCTTCTTTCTCAACCAGTATTATCGCAGTGAAATTACGTTCTGAGACATTTCGGTATGGGTACAGATATATTATTTTGCGAGAGGTCAAGATCTGAATATTTGTTAGCTGACATAGATGAAGTGGTATGCTGCCATAGAATTCATTGGACTGCGGGAAATTAGGCTGAATAATTAGCTTGTGTGTGGCCAAAACAATAGCAAAAGTGCATGTATTAAAGGGAAACACAAGTCTGCAATTTTTCTGCAGAATCAGCTATAAACAAAGGAGGATAAACTGCAGAACTTGTCCGTTCTACGGCTCTCTTTTTTTCTTTTACAATTCCGGAAAATTCAGCCAACAATTAAGGATCAAAATGTTGTATTATAAAAAAATCTACATGATTCCCGACTCAGGAAGTCAATGGTCATTGTTTTAATTATAGCCAACAATTAAGGGTCGTCCTTTAGGATTGTTTAATGCCTAACTCAAGAAGTCATTGGTCATTGTTTTATAGCCAACAATTAGTATATAAATTCATGTAATTAAAGGATAGATTCTCTTTATGGGGTTGTCCTTTAGGATTGTTTAATGCCTAACATGGATACTGGATTTAACAGGTTAATTTACTTGTATGAATGCCTTAAAATATCCATAATTGACTAATTAATTAGCACTTGCACAAGCTTCTTGAAGAGTTTTTAATTTCTTTTTAATATTTATGACAAGGAATCCCCGATCCACCATCCTTGCGAGATTTATTATTGTTTTACTGTATACTTATACTTATTCCCTCTCAAAAAAAAGTGTTCATTTTTTCCTTTTCATATAGATTAAAAAAATATATAATTATTTTACCATATTAATATTTTTTTATTCATATATTTTAAAATATTTATTTTTTGAAAATTGTATTTGAACAATCTTTTACAAAATAGACTTTAATAAGAGATATTTTAAAAAAATACACCACTTAAAATTTTGATCAGATAAATATTTTGTGACAAATATATATAAAAAAACATTAATTACGTATTTATCCTAATTTGTGAATTGATTATTGAACCTTAATTTATAAGGTGATTTAAAGATAAAAAAAGAAAAAGAAAAAGAATTAGTCTTTCACTTAAGTTGTCATTGGATCATTGAAGCTCAATTGAAAGGATATAAATTAAGGCTCAAAGCCTAGATGCAAATTAAACGAATTCAAACCTAGACAAAAGATATAAAATATAAAACAACACAAGTTTGGATTTGAGGCTAAAGTTCACATGCAAACCATGAAGATAAAAATAACAAATTCTAGAGAAATAAATAAATGGGCCTTGAGCCTATATCAACCTGCCACGCCACTTAAAATAATAAAACTTGCCCAAAGGCACGAAACCAAAATTTGAACGAGATGTGCAAAGAGGCAAAGTTAATGGCATTATAAAAATAAAATAAACAAAAATATTACTACAATAAAATTAAAATATAACAACAAGAAAATTAATATACAATAAGAAAATGAACAACAACAGCAGTAACAAAAACCCCATCATTTGAACAAAACGGATCTCAAGTGCTAAACCTACTTATTTAAATTTACCTAGACTAACACATATCAAATGAACATATACGTGCAAAACATTTGTAAGGACTACAAATTATATAAAGATGGTCACATAGAAAATAAAATAACCAATTTGTATCCATAGGATCTTTAACCTATTGATTTGTTTTGGTTTATTTTAATTTTCTCACATGTAATAAAAGAAAAAAATAGGATTAGCCTATTACTAGTATCATCATTGACCAAAAGTTTATCAGAAACTTTTTATGTGAATAATAATAATAATAATAATAATAATATAGGATGTGAATCACCTTTATCCCCAAAATTATTTTTAAAAAAATAAAAATAAAATAAAATAAAATTTGAAGCCTAAAGCTAATTACCCTAAATTCCCATCATATTAAATTGGTAAACATGGCGATATCACACCAATCTGACTTAAAATATTTAAGAATAAATTCAAAATTCCAATTTTTTTTATAAAAAAATTTATTTATGTCCAAATAATTGATATAGATAAATCAACCCCTATAATATTGGCTATGTTATAACCCAAATCAACCCCTTCTTATGGATTAGGGTACTTCCTTCCTGAGCTTTGGGAAGAAAGGGGGATTCTCCAGCCAGCATCACCAAACTAGCCTTTGCAAGTTCTAGGTTTTGAAAGAGTACCAGTTTGCCCATTGAAGTAGCAACCACCCATTGCCAGTCCTTCATCTTAAACCATACAGCTACAGTCGACCATCCAGGTAAGAATATGTCATCTCCTTCCTTGACTTGCAACTTTCATTAGCTTCAATTGATCAAAATTGACGGGTGACAATGATTTCATCATTGTTATCGGGCAAAATCTCGTAAAACGACTTCAAAATTAATAAATAACTCTCGTTCCTAAAATAAACAAATTTTCAACAAAATAAATAAGAAATTTAATTTTTGAGAAAAGTCGGGTAGCGATAAGCTATATACATCCATTCCCATCCACTAGACTTTGACAATGTGAGATAGCATAGTCCATTTTTAATAATAAGAAAATGATACCTTAATTAAATATGAATATCCAGAACACATTATAGCATGGTCCATTTTTTAATAATAAGAAAATCATAGCTTAATTAAATATGAATATGCATAGTAAACTATAGCATAGTCCATTTTTAATGATAAGAAAAATCATAGCTTAATTAAATATGAATATTCATAACAGACTATAGCATAGTCCATTTTTAATAATAAGAAAATCATAGCTTAATTAAATATGAATAGTCATAACAATCTATAGCATAGTCCATTTTTAATAATAAGAAAATGACTTGGTCAGAATGTGCATGCTATGATTTAGAATGAAAAAGATACCAATGTGTTTTCAAGTAGGTACCTCTTCTTGGAGCCATAGCAAAGCATATCCCTTAAATACACACGACTTCCTTACCTGAGAAACCATTCTCACTCCTTCTCCACCTCCTCTTTTCACTCCTTCTCATATTCTACTTTACTTCTTTCTTTGCTTTTGCTCATACTTCCTCTGCAACTTCAATATTTGGTATTACTGCGGCCAAATCCAAAGTTGCTCGAGGTAATTATAAAGAAGTAGAGGCTCTTGTCAAATGGAAAGAAAGTATTGACATCCAAAGCCAATCTCTCCTATCTTCGGCAGCAGTCCTTGCAAAAATTGGATCGGAAACACTTGTGATAATTTTAGAAGCGTCACCAATTTGACACTTGAAGATTTCGGTTTGAGAGGTACGCTTTATGATTTTAAATTCTCTTACTTTCCAAATCTTTTAATTCTTGAACTGAGGGTTAATTTTCTTTGTGAAACCATTAAATTACATGTTAGTCACTTGTCTAAAATTACTGAGTTGGATTTGTGTGATAATTATCTCACTTGAAAATATCCCATCTGAGTTAAGATTCTTGAAAAATCTTAAACATTTTATGGAAATCTTTTAAGGGACATATAAATGTTATAAAATTTTAGAAAATTGAAAGCAAAGAAAACAATATATATATATATATATATATATATATATATATATATATATATATAAGTAGATACACTAAATGTTAGAGACTAGTATAAATTATATTTTAGGGTCTCACCTATCAGCTCAAGTTTTTATATGAGATGATCCTTTAATATAGTATCGGAGCTTAGTTAACCTTGAGGTCCCGAGTTTAAGTCTCATTATTTCTAATTTCTCAAGTATTAAGCACAAGATAATGTAGACCCGTGCAAGTTTCATGTCTCAAATATTGGGTCTTTTACTTGAGGGGATGTGTTAGAGATTAGTATAAATTATATTCGAGGGCTCACCTATCGACTTAAGCTTTTAGGTGAGATGATCCTTTAATACTAAATTTTTCATTACATCTAATAATCTATCTTGTTCTCTCTTGTTTTTCTTCTTACAGTATATAAATTGGTTTGTTTATGTATATAAACAGCACAATTTTTTACTAAAAGGAAATATATAGTTTGAAAAAATCCCTTTCCGTGTTCCTCGTTTCTTTGACTTTTGGTGCACAATTTCCTTATTTAAGGCTGCAAAGTGAAACCTTTCTCTAAATCACAATTCTCATTCATTTACTCTTTTAGAAAACTCGGCAATTACAAAAAGCTGCTACTGATCAATTTATAATACGAGATCTTCTTTTGATATATTATTTCCTATTGATATGATCAGTAATTACTTATTATTATTTTTCAAATAATTTCATCAATTATATTAACTACCAATATTTATTCCATAATAATGATAGACACAAAGATGAAAGAATTAAAAAAATGAGTTTAAATAAAAATATTTTTATTATTTTTGTTGATATATATATATATATTCTATTTTCTTTTTAAATGAACTCATGGAACTCATGAATAACTATTATAAATATTGATAATTATTCTTGGAATATTTTAAAATTTCTCTATTTTGAGCATCTTTATCTATCATAGGTGAAACTAAAGAAAATAATGAAAGGAGTTTGGTGGATTGTCGTGATTGTGGCATCGTTGGTGTGCCCATTGGTAATACACAAAACAAAGACACTCCGTTTCAACACAGTAACCTTCGACTTTGAAACTGCTACCCCATTAGTCATAGAAAACACAAATGCACTCCGGTACAACCCAGTAACCTTCAACTTTGAAGGTGCTACAGAAGCTAGCTACTCGGAATTTGTGAATTCTCTGCGAAATGAAGTCCAAAGCAAGGTGGTGCAAGGATTACCAGTGACAGCGAAAACAGTACCAGATTCCAAACGATATATTTTGGTTGACCTCGAAATTGATAGTCAAAAGTTCATCACACTAGCAATAGATGTCATTGATATGTATTTGGTGGGTTATCGTGATAAATATAACGGGAAAGATCGTGCCAATTTCCTTAAAGATGCTCCCAAAGTTGCAAGAGATAATCTTTTTAAGGAAGCAACTAAAGCAAAACAGGTTAGAAACACAACATTTAACGGCACCTATACAGATCTTGAACGTTTTGCCAAATCTGGAAGAGAGAAGATTGAATTGGGAATTCGCAAACTACAGAAAGCCATCGATGAGTTCTATGGGAAATCGGACGAGGAGAAAAAGTCCCAGGCGAATAGTGAGGCCAAATTTTTCATTATTTCTATCCAAATGGTTTCAGAGGCAGCAAGATTCCAATATATACTGAATAAGGTACTCGAAGGAGGCATATACGGAAGTTATAAGCCAGATTTCAAAGCGACTTCCTTGGAGACCAGTTGGGATAAGATCTCTAAAGCTATTCAAAATGCTGATGCTGCTTCTGGAGAATTTCGCCCACCAACTAGTTCAGTTAGCTTACAGGACGAAAAGGGCAAAGCATGGATAGTTAAGAAAGTGAGTGACATAAAGAGCGACATGGGACTTTTGAAGGGCAAAGCATCATAGTTTTCTCAACTTATGCGAATTGGCCACAAAATATGTTAAGCTATTAATATGAAATAAGTGATGTGTAATCTTGTTGTTTGTACGAATCCTTTCATACTCGCGTTGTCTTCCTCTAGATTCAACATAGGCCTTGTTGATATAAGGTTTAATTCTGTTCCAAACACAGCTTTATTAATTTTTTTTTTTAATAAGTTGAGATTCTCTTAATTAAAAGGGAAAAAAGTGGACTAAATCCACTCTAAAATAAGAGCTATTTGAAAAAAAAAAAAAAAAACAATTTCCAAACATAATATGGTGTGTTATCTGATTCTAATGTCCATAAATCAATAAGTTATTATTTTCAAACGTAATACAGTGAGTTTGCAATTCTAATATCTGTAAATTAATAAGAAGACATTTCTCAAACGTAATAGAAAATGCAATTCCAATTTGAAGCCATTGCTGCCCATAACAAAATCTAAGTAAATACAAAGACAAGGCAAAATTTATTGTATAAAGAGCTTCTATTTTTAATCATTCAGGAAAAAAATTTCAATTTTCTTTTCCCTAAATCCATATATAATAAAAGCAAGATGAGCAACCATGTCGATTGTCCATGCTATTGACTGTCACAAATGGAGGATCCCCATGATTTTCAATCATTTTGAAGATGGACGATCCCCAATATTTTCAATCATTTTCTTCGTAATTTACTTGGTAAGATTAGAACTAGTTTATTTATGATGATAAAGATGGAGGTATTAGTAGTAGTGGAAGAGGAGGAAAAAATAATGATAATAATAATAATATAATTATAATAATAAAATATTCTTAAAAAAATAATGTCACAAATATCAAGGTGATGATAGAAGATGAGTGATGATAAAATAATAATAATAATAACATATTTTTTTTAAAAAAAACTATCTTCACTACAATAAATGATGAGGGTGGCAATAATGGTATAGATGGTAATTGTGATAAAAGTAATTGGTAAATAATATATCAATTTTTTTAAAAAAAATTGTCGTTTTCATTTTTTGTTTTTATTTCTTCATCTTCCATGTAAATGAAATTATATTTAATTTATATTATTTATTCATATTTTTAATTTTTTTAAATCAAACACTTACAAAATAAG